TGAATTTTCCGCAATAAATAGTATCCGTGAGGATCTTAATGCACTTGAAAAGTGGTGCGAACACTGGCAAATGAACTTCTCCGCTCAAAAATCTAACGTCATGACCCACAGATTCTCTATACCTGCTGGGTCCCTAACAATAAACGGCAGCACTATCAAACAGGATATCATAACAACAGATCTGGGCTTGCGCTACTCTATGAGCCTCAACTTTGCAGAGCAAGTGCATTATCAAGTCGCAAGGGTAAGAGGATTATCGTTCCACATACGCCGTTACATAGAAAACGCCGATGCTAGGCTAGAACTTTATAAGAGTCACGTCAGGCCACATCTAGAATATTGCTCTTTTATATGCAGCAATCTACGTAAGTCAGACCGTGTTCTGCTTGAGAAAGCTCAGCGACGCTTTACGAAGATGTTGACTCCACCGCAGCAAGCGCTGAATTACCGACAAAGGTGTGAACACCTTAAAATTCAGCCGCTATGGCAAAGGCGCATTATCCTTAACATGTGCTTCTTACATAAGCTAATTCATAGAAAGTTGCACAGTAATATCACTTGTCTTAAACTAAGGAGCGCGTCTGAATCGAGACTCCGAAACAGGGGCCATTCCATTACTCCGCTAAAGGCAAAGAAAAGACTGCGGTCTCGTTTCTTCTTGGTTGTGTACGTGAACATGTGGAACAGGTTGCCTTCCAGAATAAGAGAAATCCAAAATTTGCAGGTCTTCAGGAAGGAGATACAAAAATTCCTATGTTTTGGTAATCTACAAAGCATCTTCCATATCTGCGATTCGCAAGACCACTTCTTTGAAACTGGCCCTGATGTAGCTTGAGGACGTCCAAGATGTAGTGCAAGACATCTAAGCACCTTGAGCTCAAAACTCATCCACATTCATTGTGGTTACCATTCTAGCACCTAAGAGACTTGCACGGTATCCGTCGCACCCATTTTCCAGGGTTTAAGAATATCAAACGGAATACAATATGATCTTATTCTTCAACGACCTCTTCCTTCAATCCTTATTTCTTATCTACATCTTCATTCCTTCTCTTCAGACTTACATTTATCACCTTCCAACCTCTTGACCACTGGATCCGTGGAAAAAGTATTAGGCTTATGACCTCCATGATACTCCTAGTAAACGCATGCTACCAGACCTAAGCCTTGCATAGGATGATGAAAGCGTTTTCTGCTGCTGATGCACCCAAGCTTAGCATTAGAATTGTCCAAAATCGTCTAAATGCCGGCTTTAAATGAACCTTTATGTGTCTTCCTAGATGTCGGTTGCCAGCGGGCCCTAATTGAAGCTTTTTCATTAAGTCTGAGCACTAGTTACTATACTCAGCAGTTTCCAAACACTATCAGTAGGTAAACAGCAAAATAAAACATATATCTTTCTTATTGTTGACAAAGAGCGTACTTTGAAAATTCTAGGCCCAAGAATCAGACATTTTGCTCTCCACTTATTCTCTCTTGGCCCCATATACTTAGCTTTATCTGGTATACATGTGCCTTTCGCTATTGGCAACACTAGTAGACAGTCATAATGAAAACCAGATCCTCTTCTTTAACTGCTTTTGCTCGTAAAACACTCTCATTTCCAGATTTCATTTCACTGGCACGAAAGCCTTTAGAGGGTTGCCTATTCCGGGAGCCCAGAGAGCGATTCCAGAAGACGGATCGAGTTGCAGGGAAACTTTTATTGGTTCAGCAAAAGATTCCCTGTTAGCTAGCTATAAATGAACGACACCGTGGACGCTCTAGCTAGGGGAACGGATCAAGCACAGCACACAGAGCAGTCGCGCGTTGCAACCGAAGCGAGCGCCAAGCAAAAATGGCGATGAGCAAGTAAAGCATTCGAACTCAGCAAGCAGTTCAACAAACCACACCGGTTGCCTAAGTGTACAATTAAAGAATTTTGGTTAGAATTTTACACAAGCAAACCGGGGAATCTCCAGACTGCTACATAGCCCTCTCCCAGAAGGGACTGTGTAAGCAGTCCTTCGATCTACGTGAGGACTGTCCGTCGCGGGCCAGCCTTCTGCGAGACCAGGTTGTGAAACCCGATGCAGCTGCTGGGGGAGAACCATGCAATCGGACCCTAGCGGGCTCCCACCCGTGTCCTCCCTACGGTGTCGAAACGGTAAAAAAACTGTTTGTGGGGGGGACAGTTAATAAGGTTCACGTAGGCAGTTGAGCAGGAAGATTGTTGAACTTCCAGTTGACGTGCGGAGATCCAGCGGAAAGTGAAACCGAGGTGCAACCAACCGACGATGTATATGGAAAGCAAAATGAAAAAGCAGCATAAATGCATAGCAATACACAAAAGAGTGTTAAGCGAAAAACGTGCAAAGCTGTTTTTGGGTTTTCAAAAAGTTTTGCTCTTTTTTGGTAGTTTCAAAACGTTTTGGTCTTTTTTTGTGGATTTTCAAAAACGTTTAGTAAGAGCAGAAAATTTCTAAGGCACGTTCTACGTAAAATAGTAAGTACTGACAAAGTCTGAAAAACGAACTGGAGGCTTGAGTTTCCTACCGCGTCGATTGAGAGTAGGGCGGGTAGGAGTGCTGTCGGTTGTGTTCGTCGGTTCTGCTGGAGCGGGCTGACTCGTCTGCGTTTGCGGTGCCGGCTGTGATGGCACGGGCTGTGAAGGTGCTTGTTGCACCGGCGAGTCAGACTTGTCGAAGGAATGCTGGCTTGAGTCGATCAATGGTGATCGTCTCAGTGGTGTTGCGTCGTGGCTTGCTTATGTCGGGATCAGCTTGTTGGGCAGCAGCCATAGCGGCTAGATCAATGTTTGTGCCAGGCGATAAGCTGATCTGCTGAATGCGTGAAAGCGCATCCGCGACGGGATTGAGAGCACCTGAGACATGACGTACGTCTGTCGTAAACTGAGAAACGTAGTCTAGGTGTCTAGTTTCCCGCGGCGAGTACTTGTCTGTTGCGCCATTGATTGCGTAGATCAATGGCTTGTGGTCGGTGAAGACGGTGAAATGTCGACCTTCGAGGTAGTGACGGAAATGTCGGATACCTAGGTAGATAGCTAACAGTTCCCTACCGAAGGTGCTGTATCGCGATTCGGCAGGTTGTAAGCGCTTTGAGAAGAAACCTAGAGGTATCCATCGACGGTCGATGAGTTGTTGAAGAACTGCACCGACGGCAGTGTCTGATGCGTCAGTTGTCAGAGAGAGTGATGCAGACGTGTCTGGATGGGCGAGAAGCGCTATGTTGGAGATAGCGTCTTTAAGCTTCTCGAAAGACAATTTAGCGTCGTCTGTAAAGTGAAAAGAGCGTTGTTTACCGCGGAGCAAGTCAGTCATTGGTTGAACAATGCTCGCGCAGTTAGGTATAAAGCGTCTGTAATAGTTGACCAGGCCAAGGAATCGGCGTAACTGCTTGAAGGAACTGGGAGCAGGATAGTCCTTCAGTGCCTGGATTTTGTCTGGCAGGGCTTCGATACCAGAGGCAGATATGCGGTGGCCAAGAAAGTCGATGGAGCTTTGGCCAAGCTCGCATTTATCGGGGTTGACGGTAACCCCATGCTGTGTTAAGCGCTGGAAGAGAGCGTCGAGGTGACGAAGATGCTCCTCGTCAGAAGAGCTGGCGATGAGTATGTCATCTAGATAAGGATAAACGCCTTCGAGTCCTCGCGTTACCTCATGAATGAAACGCTGAAAAGTTTGAGCAGCGTTGCTGAGGCCGAAAGGCATTCTGAGGTACTCGAATAAGCCAAATGGCGTGATGACTGCTGTTTTAGCAATGTCATCTGGCGCCACAGGTATCTGGTGGTAGGCGCGAACTAAGTCGACTTTGCTGAAGATAGACTTGCCAGCTAGAGCTGAGGTCAAGTCGTGCATGTGCGGGATAGGGTATTTATCCGGGACGGTAACTTTGTTAAGTGCCCTGTAGTCACCACAAGGGGCGCCAGTCACCGGACTTCTTCGGCACCATGTGTAATGGTGATGCCCATGGACTTTTAGACGGGCGGATGATTCCCAGTTCGAGCATTTGCTCGAATTCCGCCTTCGCAGCTTTGAGCTTGTCCGGGGCTAGTCGGCGAGGGCGGGCCGAAACAGGTGGGCCCTTAGTGCAAATGTGATGCGTGACGTTTGACGTCACAGGAGGCAACTCGTTCAGGACGCGAACGAGTTTAGGGTGCTTGCTGAAAAGTTCTAGAAAAGACTGTGAAGCTTGAGGTAGGACACGAATGGGAGTGATAGCAGCCACGTTGGCGCTAGTCCCGATAACACTGAGCTGTGTCCTAGAGTCGATAAGCTTCTTCCGTTTAGCGTCGACGATGAGGTCGAAGCGTTGAAGAAAGTCTATGCCTATGATGGCGAAAGGCACAGCAGCGATTATGAAAGGCCAGCGAAAGGTTCGCCGGAGGCCTAAGTTGAGCGTTAGCAGCTTTTCGCCGAAAGTTGCGATTGGTGTGCCATTGGCGGCACGCAGCTTGGTCGGCGATGGTGAGACGACCTCATCTGAGCTACGGGGTATGACGCTAACTTCGGCACCAGTGTCGACTAGAAACTCGATGCCGGAAGTTAAATCCCTAACACGGATGAGGCGACTTTGGTGTTGGCCGGTCGCGTCCGTCGCCGTTACGGACCGGCCGAGAGTTTCCCTGCTTCTCGGCGAAGTTGCAAGGCTTTGACACATTTACGAGCTGCGGTACCAAAACGCTGATGGTACCAACAGCTAGCTTGCCTGTTGCTAGACTGAGAACGTTTGCAGGGCGATTTTGAGCGGCTATGACGACGACGGTCCATAGTAAGCTGCTGGACCTGGCGACTAAGTGTCGCGACTTGTGTTTGCAGGGCTTCTATAGTTGACTGTAAGCCAGTGATAGAAGTGCCCTGGGACGCGACGGCATTCATCTTGCTGGCGTTGGCCTTGTGGCTGTGATCGTTCAATAACTCGATCCGCTAAGTCTGCTAGTTGAGTGAGCGGAACGGAGCTCACTGTAGCGAGAATCGCTTGTGTGTTTTCCGGTAGCCGTTGTAGCCATAGTTCACGAAGTAAAGTCTCATCCATGGTTGAAGAACCAAGGAGTTGCTGCATCTCTCGTAGCAGGGTTGAGGGCAGTTTGTCGCCCAGCTGCAGATCCCTGAAAAGCTGCTGCAGGCGAACTTTCTCAGAGGGCATAACACGCTTAATCGTGGCCTCCTTGAGAGCCTCATAGCGGTTTTCGGTCTGAGAAATGATGACGTCACGAACCTGCATTGATATCTCCTTGGGGAGATAGGACAGGAGCTTGCAATACTTCGCGTAGTCGGAAGTGATTCTGTGGTTATAAAACTCGGCCTCAAGAAGAGCGAACCACAAAACAGGATCCATGTCCCAAAAAGGTGGAACTGAGAGAGATACAACACTAAGCATAGACTCTACCTTATGGTCTACAGATTCCATGATTTGAAAAAATGACGCGAAAAAATAGGCTACCGTATGCAAAAATAAAACCGGAAAATATGAAAAATAAATGGAACGAGCTCACCGGAGAAAAGTTCGAAATATCCGGCGTTGAGGTTGTTCCGGATCCGGGGTCACCAATTTAGAGGGTTGCCTATTCCGGGAGCCCAGAGAGCGATTCCAGAAGACGGATCGAGTTGCAGGGAAACTTTTATTGGTTCAGCAAAAGATTCCCTGTTAGCTAGCTATAAATGAACGACACCGTGGACGCTCTAGCTAGGGGAACAGATCAAGCACAGCACACAGAGCAGTCGCGCGTTGCAACCGAAGCGAGCGCCAAGCAAAAATGGCGATGAGCAAGTAAAGCATTCGAACTCAGCAATCAGTTCAACAAACCACACCGGTTGCCTAAGTGTACAATTATAGAATTTTGGTTAGAATTTTACACAAGCAAACCGGGGAATCTCCAGACTGCTACAAGCCAACCAACGACAGAGAGGCCCCTGTCACACTGGCTGGCTGGAGTACCAGAAACTTTCCACCACCACTTTTCTTATCTTCGCCGCACGTGTATCATTTATCTTTTAGCTGGCTCCAAAGCCTACCATGCGTTATGCGTAATGGTGGGTGCACGACCAGCTCCCACTGGTTTTTGTTACTATTCTACTCCTGATTTACCTTATCGCTCTTTGCATCGGGTGATAGAACAGCTCTTGCCAGGCAAATCACAAAAGAAATAGTCGGCGTGACATTAGAGTACCAGTTAACATTGCCATCTGGATGAACACCGCCGGCACTATCTTCGGAACTTAAGAACGGAGAGAAATAAATCAAAATTCATCAAAGAGCTGCACAATAGTGTGCATCTACACACGAGGTATAACAATAACTCAAGTGTGAGCAAGCTCAACCACCAGAAGTAGAGCTGTTAAAGCCCAACCAATGTAGACCAAAACGGATTTCACGCCCAAATGCAATTAGCTAAATTTTACTAAATTTTCCCATGCTTATTTCTTTATTATTGGTGACAGGCTCCTGTAGCTCACTGATGTTAGTGACAGAGCCTCATGAATATAGAAAATCGGCTCTAAGGGATAAATCTTGTGATGTTTAGCCAAGTAATGTGTCTATTTTGCAGGCCGAAATCTGTCAGCCGATCTGAAAGACCCCCTGGTTTACTCAGGTAGACCTGGCTCATGCGGTCTTGTTATAAGCTTTAGTAAAGCTTAGAGGCTTAAAAAATGCTAAACTCTATTTTACTGGTTGTTTATGTGGCTCAGTATCCCCTGAAAACGGTATGCCGTGGCCTTCTAACCGTGAGTTAATTACAGGCTCCCCTGGATTCCCATGTTGATATAATATTCCTTGCTGGATTTCTAGTGTTTTCGCGCAAAACCATCCCTTATTTGCATATATTTATCATGTATGCCTACAAAGTTTACTTTTCGGCCACCTGCGCAGCCCGTAGTTGTCGCAGGGTATTACGGGCTAATTAGAGCATTTCTGGATAGCCATGCCCATCTAGATCATATGCCGCTTCCCTACTTTTTATGTTTTTTTTCTTTTTTCTGCTATCTGCTTGCAAAGCAGAAAGCCATTTTTAGCGAAAAATAAAAATGGCCTTATTCGTAGACCATCATTTAATTGCGAATAACTCGCAAAATACTGCACGTATTGTGTTGCTTTTGATTTCAGCGTATTCAGGCGCTAAAGCTGGTCCAGATCAGTGCAATATTGTGCTACTTTAAGCGGTATTGTAACTGTAGAAGGGCATTTTCTTTTATCTGAGAATAACTCAGGTTGAAATTTCGCGCCGGAGAGCAATATCAGCGTAAGAAAAGTAGGGCTCTATTTTTTTGTTAATTGGTATTTTTCTACTGAAGCACGCAGATTTATTTTCTCTCTTAACAAATTGTTTTTATTCTTGCCTGCATTTATCGAAAAAAAATTTTTCTAAACTTTTTGTATGCCTTATAATCCCTTCACTCATTTCTTCCATGTGCGCAACAACAATTGGGGCAACTGAGTGGCCAATTAATGTGCGATCAATTTAAAGTGAACTTTCGGCGAATTGGATTCTGTTCCAAGGAGAAAAGGCACAACTCCTCGAAGTTTTTCACAATAAAAGAACAAGGAGCTCAAGATCG